AAAAAAAAAAAAAACCCAAAAAAAAAAAAAAAAAAAAAAAAAAAAAAAATGTTGGGGCTGGAGAGATAGCTTAACAGTTAAGAGTGAGTGCTTGCTGCTGCTCTTCTGCTCTTCCAGAAGACCCCAGTTCAGTTTCCAGAACTCACATACAGTAGTTTACAACTGCATTTTAACTCTAGCACCAGCTTCTGGCCTCTTTGGCATCTAAACATATATGCCAGTTATAAACACATAAATTTTGTTTTGTTTTCTATAAAGAACAGTAGGCTCAACATGTTAATACATCTATAATACCAGGGCTCTGGAGACTGAGGCAAGTGAACTGTGAATCAGAAGCCAGCCCGGGCTACTTAGGTTAGCTACTCAATGCCAACCTGCAATATACATACAATGAGTGTCTCAAAAAACAACAAACAAAAAGAACACTAAAGGATTTGTTAATGTATTTTTACATTCACAGGGAATCCATTTAACTATGTAAGAGATGCATGCTAAGGAATAGAAATGAGAAAGAATGGACTGGTAAGGGGGCCAAAGTGTTCAGGGAGTTCAAAGTCACACTGAGGGATTTAGATTTGAGTCAGAAAGGAAATACAAGCTGCTGAAGGTTTTAGTATATGAGAATAGCATAGTGAGATATTTATCACAGGGCTTGAAACCTCAGTTCAATTTTCAAAAATTTGCTTCTTTTCTTCCTTTCAGATACTTTAAAAGGGGACAATATAAGTCTAACAACAAAGAAGGAAATAAAGTGCCTGCAGTTAAAGTGCTTGGATGTGATTAGTCCTTTGGACCATTCCCCTGGGGACTTGGGCATAGCTTAGTCTCTGGAATCAACGTGCAAAATTAGTTCAGCTTCATACATGTTTGACCCTCCACTTCAAAGACTTGTGAGGTCATCCTGAATATCAGCCTCAATTATTAATTCCTGAAATGTGCTATAGGTAATACAGGAAATATTTAGGGTTTGATGCTAGAGAGAAATGCTGGATTTTATCCCCCACAGTTTAAGTAGCTTTTCTCAGGAAATCATGTTTGCTGCAACTGGATTTCAGTGTTTAAAAAACTAAATTAAGCTTGGAGGTGGGGAGATGGCTCAGTGGGTAATGTTCCTGCCATAAAAGCATGAGGATTTGAGTTGAGATTCCCAGTGTCTGTGGAAAGCAGAGCACAATGACACATGTCATTCCAGCACTATGGTGATTATAGGGAGAGAGGCTGGGATGGTAAAGACAGGCATATCCTGAGAGTTCATTGGCCAGTAAACCTAGGTGAATTCATGAGCTCCTGGTTTAGTGAAAGACTCTATCTCTAAAAATGAGGTGAGGCCAGACTTGGTGGTACACACCTTTAATCCAAACACTCAGGAGTGAGAAAGGTGGATCTCTGTGAGTTTACAGCCAGTGTAGTCTATACATCAAATTCAAGTACAGCCAGGGCTACATAGACAGACCCTATCTCAAAAAACCAAAACCCAAAACAGAAAACCAAATAAACAAAACAAAAACCAGCCAACCAAACAAAACTCATAAAAATAAAGCACAATCAAAAAAGACTCCAAATGTCAACTTCTGGCCTCCAATCACATGTTTACACATGCAGGTACACATGTATACACCCACATGAACACATATAACACACACACACACACACACACTTCCAAAAAGTGACTTGTTCTACTGTGGCAGAAACTAATTTCCAGCCATTCACCCTCTCCTTAGTTCATGAATAACAGCTAGCACTCATATGGTGCCAGGAAGTTGCGGAAAAACAAATGGGCCTTTGAGCTGTAGTTCTGTTCTCTCAACCATTGGTTGGCTGGCACAGATACAAGAACAAAGCCTACCTTTCCAAGGAGTGAAGGAAGTTAGAGACGCTATTCCTCAGGCTCACATCTGCCACATGGAGAGCTCCACACACAACTCCCAACATGGTGTCAGGACGTTCTGCCTAAAAAGAACAGAGGACAGATCAAAAGCATGGTTATATGACACCAAAGCAATTCAAATAAAATCAAAATCAAATTTGTTATGAAGAAACATCCTTATTTCCATACTGATTTTTGAGCCAAGAATGGTGGCATACACCTGTAATCCCAGGACCTGGGAGGTAGAGGCAAGGAGAATCAGGAATAAAAAGATCATCCTTGACTACACAGTGAAGATGAAGCCAGCTAAGACTACAAGAGAACTTCCTTTTTTTAAATTTATTTTTATTTCATGCATGTTGTTTGCCTGCATATATGTAAGTGCACCCTGAATGTGCCTGGTGCCTCCTGAGGTCAGAGGGGAGCATCAGGTGCCCTGGAACTGGAATTATAGGTGGTTGGCTATGAGCCACCAAATGGATACCAAGATCTGAACTAGGTTCTCAGGAAAAGCAGCCAAGTCATATTTTCGGCCTCCATGAAACCTTAAGGAACATTAAGTAAGGACTAATACAGCTGACAGACACAAGTCATTCAAGAAGACATAAAGCCAATTGTTGTTCTAATTCTAACTCTGTCATTGATTTTTCTTTCCTTCTTTCTTGGTAGTGAACAAATGCAATAAACAATATTAGTAGTCAAAGAATAAAACCCAATGTGAAATCTCACAACTTTAGAAAGGCTATCCTAACTATATTGAAGTTCATTGAGATGTATAGACTTGGGGTTTGGTTAATTGTCATCTGTGGTGATTTTTTTATATTTTTGGTTGTAAGCCTAGCCTTTAATGGTTGAGTCATCTCTCCAGTGGTAACTTTTAACTGCAAGTTTTTTGTTTTTAGTTTAGGCATCATCAGTTTATTATAAAAAGGCACGGAAATTATTTACATGCGGAATATAGTTCAGAATGTCAGTTGAATGGGCAGCTTCATGTGACACCATTTCAACAGTGACCAGTCCACATACTTTCCAAGAATGTTACCATCTCTAAATAAGAAATAATATTTGTCATCTAGAATTACTTTGATGCCTCCGTATTCTGGGAGAACTTTCACACAGACCAGCTGAATCTCTCCACCCTTTCTTTTTGGGCCTGATACCACAGCCACTACTGTTGCTTGCAATACTTCTTGAGACTTTTCTGGAAGCATAATGCCACCTTTAGTCACAGTTTCAGCAGCACTCCTTTCAAGTAATTCTCTGCCAAAGAGCAGGAGAAACTATCTGAAAGCTTGTCCAGCCCTGATTTGCACCACTAAAGCTTTGACTGTGCACTTGGGCCACCCCTACAAGGAGAGTATAATCCCAAGTTTTTAACGATAAAGTTTACAAATTATTTTTAAAAGAAACAACAAACAAAAAAGTCCCTACATTCACCTTTAGAATTTGAAAACAGATTTTAAAAAATAATTTTCCTTCTACTCTGTGAAATTTTCATTGAGCAAATCAAAGACTAGTTCACAAACAGATAATCAATCCCAAAGGCTATGTGTGCAAGAGGAGAACACACACCTGTACTTTTTCTGCAATCAGTCTGTCCAGCCAGCCGGTGTCAATTCTATTCAACTGAAAGCTTTCGGTCTCCAGCAGTTTGATCAGGTATTCAACTGTAGTTCGAAAATCACCCCGAATAGACAGCTCCTTCAAAGCCACCACCATATTTCTAGGGGAAGAACAGAAAAAATTTGTAACAGCCACAAATATTTTGTTTCATTCTTTTGGAGGCTTAGCAGGAGGACAGGCAGTTGCAAGAACAGTTGAGGGCATCGCTGTAAGCCTGCTCATTTTCATGTACTCCAGATAGGAGCGCTTCCAAGAAGTCAGTATATAAGAGTTTTGACTGATATTACCAAAAAGCATCAGCAAATCAAAAACATTTCACCATAAATAATACAGACGGAACCATTCTCAGCTTTCACTTTTCAATTTTTATTGTTTTAGTCATTTATTGCTGACTAGTTAGAACTAGAACACTAACTTTCCAATTCCTTAAATCTTAATTTATATACCATGCTTATTTCATGTATCATTTCCATGCAACAAAACATACTTAAAGGCTATAGCTTAGTAAATTTTGACAAGGTTTCCCTACCCACTCCCCCAAAGAAAGCAACAGACTGGAGTTGGCTGGCAGCTGCATACTTCTGTAATGCCCTTCTATAATCCCAATGTCATCATACTTGCTCACTATTCTATATTTTTATTGCTTGTCTCTCTTCCTCTGGATTATATAGTACCATGAGGACACAGACTCTATTTAGTCTTTGCTGTACTGTCAGGCCCAGCATGATGGTATCTGTTGAGTACAGTGAATTTATGAATGACTGGAGAGAAGAAAGAACAAAACAAACAGGAGCAAGAATAAAATAAGTACTGTGTTCAGAAAACAGTGTGACTGAGAGGGTTTGAAGACAATGACAGAGGCAAATCTACCATTCAGCAAACATTTCCTATGGAATATATGAATTATATGCTTATAGTTCAGGGGATATAGTGGTAACAACATAGACATGTTTCTGTTCTCATGGTATTTACATTATGAGAAATGACTGCATGTGTGGGCTACGACTACTACAGAGATATCTAAAGGCCAAGTGAAGAATACAGATTAGCTGTAACAAAGAATGCAACAAAAAAAGCTCTGAGTTGATAAGAGAACTTTTAACACAGTATCAGGAAGCAAACATATTGCAATATGCTAAAAGGTAACCTAGTTTGCTTTCTTCTGCAGAGAAATACACAGAGCAGATAAGAAGTAAGAAGTCAAGACTTCTGATCAAGTCATTGAACATATCCTGCAGAATAAAAACAGTGGTCTGTTTAATCAAGAGAGAAATGAAAATGCCAATAGACCCCAGTCTAATTGAGACAAGGAAGATAAAGGGGGACTGTCTAAAATACTCAACTCATATCCCAGTTAAAAGCAGCAGCAGTCACACAAATCTTTGACTACAGGCTGGCAAGCTGGCTTAACCTGCCACCAAGTGTGATTACTATAGTTCAATTCCCAAAACCCACACCCTAGAACTACTCCTTCAGGCTGCCCTCCCCTACCTTTCTCTCGGCTCCCTCCTCTCCCTCCCTCCCCCTCTCTCTCTCTCTCTCTCTCTCTCTCTCTCTCCTCTCTCCCTGCTGCTGACACATGCACACACACCCCCATCAGCTTACAAATGCAGTATAAGGCAACTTTATACATTTTTTTCTAGTAGCACTGCTATAATTTTGAAATTTTTCACATATAGTCTTGAATACATGTAAAGAATGCAAAGTACAAAAGAGAGAAACAGTAAGACTTCCTCAATTTGAAACATTTTTTAAAAACTTAAGAATTGGACCGGAGTGATGTCCCAGCAGTTAAGAGCACTGGGTCCTCTTATAGAGGACAAGGGTTCATTTGTTAGCACCTACATGGTGACTCACAATAATCTGTAACACATTTCCAGGGAAACCGACCCCTCTTCTGACCTCTGTAGACAACACCACGAATGTGGTACACATACATGCATGCAGGGAAAACACTCATACACCTAAAGTTTAAAAAAAAAAAAACAAAAACTAACAGCAACAACAACAGACCTCCTAAGACTATTAACAAATACTAAGGGAATACCTACTCTGTGAACAGTTCAAAGGTGAAGAGAATACTATTAAATCTGTGGCATAGGCAACACATCCTTAAAGCTTAAATAAAAAACAGAAAGAGAAGTTTAGAAGTAGCTCAGAGGCAGAGCATCCATAAGGGCCTGGGTTCAGTCTCTAGTACCACAAAGAAAAGCAGGAAAAAAGGGAGGGAGGCTGGGAGAGAGAAAGGAGGTGGCAAGGGAGAGGGGGAGGGACAGGGAAGGCAGGAAGGGGAGACAGATTAACTAAATTTTTAATCTGGGACAGACATTTTAAAACATATATTAATCAAATTACTTCCTAAAGTCCCTATTTTTGAGGCAAGTAAAACTGCTGATAATTTGATATTTATGATTAACAAAATATTAATATTTAATACACCACTTATATTTGTGTAAACTGTTGCATGCTTTATAATACAATGAGGTCTCTTACATGCAATTTTGGTAATTATTTTATTCTTTTCATAAAAAACAATCAAGATTTTAATATTTTAAATGTCAAGACATCATGGTGATTGTGGCTAACAATACTGCATATCTGAAAATGCTAGAATTATCACCAGAAATAAACAATGGTAAGAATGTGAAGTGAAGCAAATGCCAAAGAGTTTGATTCCATATGGCATGCATACAGCAAAGTAGCATGTGGTATGCCAATATATACATACATGCATACATTAATACATACATTTTATCTGTCAAATTAGAAAATTTAATGACTATGAGTTGTTCACAGCTATATTATGAGGCTCTGGGTAAAATCACAGTACCTAAGAAGCACTTTTCTCTGATAACAGATACAGACCTTTATTTATAAATTTTCTGATACCTAATTCATGGTCAAGAATCTACCTCTCCCCAGTAATACTACCATTACTGTAAAAACAAAAACAAAGCAAATGACTTCATGTGTTTAAAAAAAAAAAAAAAAAAAAAAAAACTTCTTGGTTTTTAAAAAAAAAAAAAAAAAAAAAAAAAACTTGCAAATACACACAATAAGCATGAACTCAAGTGCAAACTAAGTAAGATGTCCACAGCAGCATTTTCACAGCAGATAAAGGAGGATCATACCTTCACCAAGGACTAGCCCAATTTTATTAAGCCAAATGCAATCAAATGCTATTATACTCACGAAATTGCTTCTTCTCTGTTTTCTCCCCAGGAAAAGCAGTGACCGAATTGAGAGTCAGCAAACTCATGAAGTCCTCCAGCAGCAGCAACACTAAAATAACCCCAAACGTTCTTATTGCTGCGGAAATTAAGTTCCTGAACTGTTCCTGAGCTGGGCTTAAACCCCTGTTAGAGAATAAGAACATGAGATACTGCATTGAACTTTCAAGGAAGAGAACATTGATATTCAGTGTTCAAGGCTCTAGGATCATCAAGCACAACTGACCCAAAAAAACCACGCAAGCCAAGCCCAGTGCTATAGTCCCATAGATGCTTCCTGAGTGACTAAAGTGAAATTAAACAACCATCATATATCAACTCTCAGAATCTTTTTATAAATTTCCCTCTCAAAATGAAGTTCCAAGACTTTTCAAAAGCAAGTCCTCTGACACTTGTCTCAATATTAATAAGCTTTTTAAGTGAAGGGTTACCTCATCTGGATTTTCACTGGTGATCCTGGCAGCAATTACATGGCCCCTTGGGCAAGGAACATGCGCAGAATTTTCAAAATCAATGGGAGCATCACCCCAAGGAGATACCCCATACATTATACGAATATCTTTGATCCTAAATAGAGGGATCCCCATGGCAATCTGAAAGGTAATAAAACACATGTAATTTTCCACAGACCTCTTTTCTTAACAGATGGAAACAATCAAAATACCTAAGAGTCTTTGCATTTTTTTGAAGTTACTACTAAAATCATTCCACTTTTGTAATCTGTATTCTACAGTCATCTAAACTACACAAAACAGAATACAGTGTTAAGGGTTATTTGCTAGGACCATTCCCCTTTCCTACAATACACCCAAATTCCTAATGTGACAGAGATTTTCTTATGCTGTCATTTCTCCATGGATGGATGAGAATAAAATTGTCCAAGATAAAAGTCAGTCAAAAAGTCCAGCTAGCTAAAAGCCATAATATTACAATTGTCTCTTTGTGCATGCAAATTACTGAAAAAAGTAAAGGGACCTTTAGATCTTTACTTAGGAAGGGCCAGTGGCTGTTCCTACAAAGGGAGGATAAGAAAAAATAACTGGGGAAGGATATGACCAAAGTACACGACAAACATGTAGTATGAAAATGTAATAATGAAACCTTTGTTTGTTTTGAAACAGTATCTTACAACGGTGCCCTGAACAAGCTATGTAGACCAGGCTGACCTCAGACTCACAGAGATCCTCAACCTCACAGAGATCTGCCTGCCTCTGCCTCTTGAGTGCTAGGATTAAAGGCATGTGCCCGTATACCCAGAAAACCTGTTATTTTATAAAGTTAATATACACTATAAGGGCCAATGAGATGGCCCAGCAAGTCAAATCACTAAATTTAATCTCAGAACCCATGATGTAAGGAGAGAACCAACTTCCAACAGTTGTCCTCCAGATTCCAAACACACACTGTGGCCCATGCACATCCAAATACATAAATAAATGTTAAAAAAAAATGTAAAGAAACCAAAAAAAAAAAACCTTGAATTTTTAAGGGGAACTTGCAAAATGTTCTCAATATGAGCCAAAAATAAGTCATACAAGATTATTAAGTAAGCATTTTGTCATGTACTCATAGTCTAAACTATTCAGGAGGCTGGGGTAAGAAGAATGCTTGAGATAAGATGCTGATTGGTGTCCATACTAAGTTCTGCATCAATACAGTCCCTCCAGAGAGCAGAGACCACCAAGTTGCATAAGAGGAATGAATCAGCACAGACTAGAAATGAAGCAGGTTAAAAATAATATTTAATCTTATCATTTGCTTCAAATATTCACAATAGTATTTGTTTCCCAGGCTGAAGTAAGACCACAGAATTAATAGCTACCACTTTATACATTATTTTTAAAAATATGTACTACCACAGTCTTTCTAGTAAAATATTGACCACCACCTTCATATAAAGTTGCTCCAATAAATAAGACTAGAAACATAAATGGGGGTTAATAACAAAGTTATGAAGTTTACTATAATTAAATAATAAACAAAGCAGCTTTTTTTTTTTTTTTTTTTTTTTTTTTTTTTTTTTTTTTTT